CACGTCTTACTGCTGTCTCATTTTCTGACCCGACACTGATTCCTGGAGTACTTTTTTTTACTGGAGTTAGGTGTTGTACTTGCTTCAAAAGGGAGACGTCAAGCCTCCAGTCTTAGTTCCTTTGTTCTGAGAAATGTTCTAGAAAATATAAACTAAGTGACCGGCCTTCTGTGCCTCCTGAACATTCTCCTTCTACTGGAGCGTTAGGGTTTAATCTGCTTTTCTTCTCTTGCTGGAACACTGAAATGATTCATCTGCTTGATAAACAAACTCGAAGATAAGGTATAGCTTTCCTTTTAAAAATTCAGTGTCTTGGCAGACCCCTGGTCTTGTTTTATTCTTCTGCAATGTTTTGCTGAACCAAGTTCCCCTACAGAGCTCACAATAAATCCCTGGTCTGGGTTTATGAACCCTGCACTTGAATTCATAAGATGTGAGCTAAGGTTTGCTCTGAGCTCTGCAAGTTGCTCCTACAAAAGAGTAAGCATTTCCAACTGAGCATCTTTCACACTATATAAACCTACATACAACACAATCTCCCTTATGTCTAGGTAGGCGTTAGTAGGGAAATAATCAATTCTTTGTTTGCTGAAGAAGGGAACATTTGTAGTCGGTGGATAAATGCTTTGGTACGGATTTTAAATCCCAAAAATGCCTTTTCAGTTCTTAAACAGGTTTTACTGTTTAGCAGGGATGTGTATTTTTGAAATTCTGGCGATACTATACATATCACGATACAGGGGAGACGATACGATATATCGCGATATATTGCGATACATTCAGTCAGACGTTACAAGCCAATTTCTTTACTGAATTTATTGTAAGAATGTTCAATAAACAGTCCAAACTGATACGTAACATGTTTAACATGAGGTATCTGAACCATGATGGAGGGATTTACAGTTCAATGGTGGAAACAAAACCTGTTGCACACTGCTGCCAACTAGCGGGTGGCGATTGAACTGCACAAAACGAAAAGAAAATACACAAAAGTTTGCATGTAAATTCTTTCAAGAATTAGATACACGGCTTTTGAATATCAATGTAATAATCACAGGAAAAAATATCACGATATATTGCCGTATCGATATTTCCGATACACGGCTTTTGAATATTGATATAATATTGTTGGAAAAAATATCACGATATATTGCCATATCGATATTTTCTTACATCCCTACTGTTTAGGGTTTTTACCATGTTTACTATGTTCTGCTTTCAAATGTGGGTACTGCAGTATCAAAACAAATGTGTCCTCTCTGAGGGACCCTCCCCCTCTTCCTTTAGCATCATGGCTGTTGCCATTCAGGACCTGAAGATTCTAGATGATGAGTGAAGAAGTCATACACAGACTCGGATAAATACACTTCACTGTAAATCGAGTTGTTGGTGACTGAAAAAGTAGCTTGAGACATTTTAGAGCCGACTGTTTTTCTTTTTCTAATTCACTGTTAGCATTCTTAGCTCAACGTTAGCTTTTAGCCTCCTTTAGCCAATATTAGAAGCCGTTTTTACAAAATAATACAGTCAACTTGCCACAACGCCATGCCGGCATCGGAGAGCCTCAGGTCGTTTATAAGTGGTCAGACCGTGGCAGTAATGTGGCATAGTCATGCCCTTTTTACAAAGGATTACTCAATGGCGGCATAAAGGGGGCATGAGGGTGGTCCCTGTGCTGCCGCGGACTTATGTTTAACTTGGACATAAGTTGCTTTTTAATTGGTGCCTAGCGTACCAGTTTGCTGTCTCAGCTGATTTTGTTGAAAAAGCAAAACTTATGGTCCCTTTTTTACTTTCATTTTGAATATATTTGCTGACCGTAGCTCAGCATTAACTCCCTACGTCATCATGACACCTCCCTCTGTTGCTCCAAGATGCAATAGCCGTTTATAAAACAGACAATTTTGGCAATAGTACTACCAGGCAAGGTGAAACGAGTTCCAGAAAATTTGTGCATCGCCATGCCAGCATGGCATGTTTATAAGACACACTGTTGCGGTAATATTGCACAGAATTGCCGGCACTGCGTGTCTTGTAAAAAGGGCTAGAGTAAAGCAAAAAGATGCCGTGGCTTTTTAGGGGTACATGAAACAACTTCTGGGTTTATCTTTTTAACGGCTAACATTCTCTCCACAACTCTGAAGCTTTATGCCGGCATCAAATTACAAATGCTGGCGCTGCAGCGGGCTTACAGATTGTAAACAATGACTACATCCCTCTTTGGCCTTTTTCAAAGCAGAAAACTGACAACCCCAAACAGATTTGAAGGAAATCTATTTCAGTGTAACCTTTCATGCACCATGATTGAGACGTTAAACTGTTTTGTGATTATTTCATTGTGAAGTGTTTGTGGTCAGTTCTGTCACTAATTATGATGTTTAGTAACCTTATAGAAGAGTTGGACACCACTTGTTTAATGTGTTTCAACCATCACCCTGTATGATAGACCAGATGTTACTCCACCTAAGTGAAACCAAAATACCTACTTTGCAGATGCTGCCATGTTGTATTTTCAGAGTGAAACTCATGATGTGACGCTGAAAGTCCCGCCTACCCACTTGAACACAGTCATGGTGTTTATACAAATACTAGTTACAACTGAAAAGAAATAATAATTTGCAAAATACCTGTGTGATTCAAAAGGAGTTGGTATCTGAAAAAAGGTTGTGTGTTCATTGTTTTATGAGGGGTGTGTCTTTTAGTTCACATGAACGGGGTTAAGCCTTTAACGTAACAAGAGGCAGTGTGCCCCAGGGCAGCTGTGGCTACATCGTAGCTCATCACCATCAGTGTGTGAATATGTGTGTGAATGGATGAATGATACGCTGTAGTGTAAAGTGCTTTGGAGTCCTTACTCTGAGAGGCGCTATACAAGTGTGGGTCATTTATCATTTATCATTTACTGCAGCCAGCCACTAGAGGGCATGTGGTTTCCTTTTTGCCTCCGTCTTAATCTCCAGCATCTAGTTTGTGTATATCTATGGTTTAAACTTTACAAAGACCTTAAATACATTCTGATGATGTAACACAAATAGTGTCAACAGTGTGGGTCTTATTGTTAATTTAGATTTTTTTAATCTGACTCGTTAAACTCATCTACAGACCAACTGAGCTCACAGAAACCTTGCCAGCAGCACATTTCTCCAACCTGAAATTATAACATTTTTCATATATTGTCTTTATCCTCTTAGCTCATTATAAAAATATTTAAATCCGTACATCTTTTTGTTAAATTTAATAGCTGGTGTATTAATAACCTTGTTAGGGTGTTTAGCTTAACTTGCAGATGCTTTATTTCTTCTTCATAAAGACTGCAGCATGGCTCCAGATCACCTTCAGATGCCTGTTTGGAATATTTTCACAACTCCCGTTTGACCTTATCCCCTGTGAGTTCTTCAGCAGAGCCCACTGACTTGTCCGGATTGTGGTCTCACGTTCCATCGATGCAGGAAGTGCTCCAAGCTTTTGTTTGTTCCACGATCCCGGTTAGAGTTAGGTTGTGTGTTTTCCTTTGTGTGAGAATGCATCACTGTCTAAATGAGGATAATTGCTGAGCATCTGGCAGTTTACTCTGCAGTCATAAAGTATTAAGCCTATAATGCGTTTTGCATTGTTGTTGGCTCTGTTCCAGCAAACTGAAAGGAAACAGTGGCTCTGAGGCTGGAGTGCTGACTTTCAGCTCTTGCTTGTTTGACTATCCCTCGGCCAAGCTCGATGAAGAGTCTCCCAGTTTTATTCAAATCACAGAGGCAGCAGTTTCTGGGCAAATTTGCGAAATGATCTCGACCGGTAATCTCTGTATAACATAATTATATAGAGAGACTAACTTTTGCAGCCAAAAACGTGATATAATTTGTAGGTTTGTGCTGAATTATTCAAGTCGGGGAACAGCTGCAACCTTTGCTGCCTCCTCTACCGTGGATGTAAACAGTGTTGTAGATTTTATGTCTCTTTTACTTCATGCAAAAATAGCAGTGTTTGTGCAGCAAAAAGGAGCAGATCAGTAAATGAAAAATCAATGCAAGCTAAGTGTTCCACTGATATGACGGAAAATCTCGATCTGTTCAATCATCAGAGATGATGAAGTCTGAGGTTTTGAGGAGTAAACAAACACTGAAAGACAAATTAGCAGTTTGTCTGCATGCTGTGACAAACAAATGTGCCAGCAGCCCCTTTCTCCAGCAGTAATACACAGTTTTAACGCCACACTAGCTGTGCTCCTTTTCTTTCTTTCAGCGTTGCCCTGCAGTTGATTTCTCTGACCTACAAACAAATGGAAATGTCATACAGACTGACATTCTTTCCGTATGGTTTCGTTTGGAAAACTTGCCAAGCAAATTGAAAGCAGATTTCGTTGAGTCTAACCACAGATTGTTCCTCCAAAAAACAGGGAAAACAAATAAAATCAAGAATGTTTGTGTGGCTAAGCTGTGGAATGTGACAATAAAAGTGTTTTAACAATCTCAGTTGATAGAACATGAACTTCGAATCCTCGTCTCACGTGAAACTCGACGGGCCGAGGTGACTTGGCCTCTGTCCAATCAAACACGGCCTCTGTTTGTCACCAAATGTCATTCCAGCTTTAGCTTATGCCAATGCCACATAAATATGCAAGCCAATCATTTTACCTTTCAAATGATTGGCTTGAACTCCTTCCAGTGAATTGTCTGATGATGTGTTTTGCTTCCTCTGCCCGTGTATTAGACAGTTGTGTGTGCATGTTCAGCCTCCCTTGTAACGTGCTTTTGTCGGCGTTGTGAGTGGAGTAGAGGTGTTTTATTTCTGTGGTTCCTTGTCACACCGAGAGTCTTTTTCGTTATGTTATTTTGTTTTTTCTGTTTTGTTTCCTTCCTTCCTTTCTTTCGTGTCACTGTCATTTTCATTTCAACTCCTCTCCTCAACCTGTCCATTTGGATGCAATTTTTCCTCCCAAACTATCCTCGTTGCTGTTGCACCCCCTCCCACCCCCGCCCCTCATTCTGTCCTATTCTAACCCAAAGACATAGCCCTGCCCTCCTTCCCTCCCCCTTCACTGACTCCTAAAACTACTGACCATGTAACGCCAGGCTCCGGAGGTGTAGACGGTCCCGCTGGGCCCACCCCCTCCGCCCCCAGAGACGTGGTGGCTTCGCTGGTCTCCACCCGCTTCATCAAGCTGACCTGGCGCCAACCAGCCGAGCCGCACGGAGATGAGTTAACGTACTCGGTTTTCTACAGCCAAGAGGGCACCAGCAGGTACATTGCACCGTATCAGCAGGGCTTAAATGCACGCTACTTTAACAACTCAAAATATCTCAATGAAGCACTTTTAATTATTGATTCAAGGCCCACTAAACTACCTTCTTACACTGTGGTTGGAACCGTTTTCCTATGAAACCCCCTGCCTTGACTGGGTCTGACAGAATAAAATGTAAGAAGCAGAGAGGATATTCCACAAGTCCTCTGTTTCATGTTTTCCGTGCAGAAGATCTTTAAGTGGTTTTCAGAGAGCTGAAGGGAGATTTGCTTTGTGCTGCAGCAAATATAATCCTGCAGTATCCGTAAAAGCAGCAGCTGTTCAAACAAGAGTGGGTCTAAATTCAGATATTTAGCAACTCCTAAGTGTGGAAGCAAAAAGAGGACATGCTTAGATATTACATTTTATCCGTGTTACCTCAAGATAATGAGTAATTATCTTGAGACGGCAGGGTGTTGCTTTTTTATTTTAGCTTTAAAATGCTTCTTTTGTCTTGATGACTAGAATTTCTTAGTGCATCACGACTGAACAAAACCGATATTTTGTGTGAAATCAGGTCAGTGGTGCTTATGACTGATTCGGGCTGAGCCTGTCCCACAATATCCATCCATCAGATCCTTACTGTTATTAGTCACCTCTACAGTTAATGACGGCGATAATAAAATTGAGTTTAGCACAAAACTATTCCTTTTGGGGTTACACTTTACAATAAGGGTCTCTTTATTAATATCATAAAGTTAATTATTAAGCATTAATAAATTATGAAATAAAGTATTCATGACTGCTTATATTATTGTTAATGTTAAGTAATGCATTACTAAGCAGACACCCTCACCCTGGCTCTTTGTCCTAACCTTAAGGACACTTAATAGTTAACAATAATGGTAATGTTAATAAAGGGACCCTTTGTTTATTAATGCTTAATAATGCACTAAGTAACTTAATAAAGGGATGCTTATTGTAATTGTATTGTATTGAAATTTTTGCATTATAATCTTCTTATTCAGAGGAAGAAAAGCTCGTTTTCCTTTGATAATATCTTTATTTTTAAATAACAAGGTTAAACGAGGGTGCCTAGTAAAAGTAAAACATTCTGGACAATATTTGTCATTGTTTTGGATTGTTGCACTAAAAATCATACACTTTTCTTAATCAAGTATATTTTTCTGCTTATGTAGTTCATAAGAGCGTTAGAAAAATATCATATTATAGTACATTTATAGATTAACTGGGAGTTATCTATGAAATGATGTGATTTATTTCGATTAGAAATTCTTGTTTAACAACCCTAGTTTATACAATAATACATCACACACATTAGTAAAAATTGTCTGATGAGATCTTTCGATTGTTATTCAAAAAGAATTTGAAAGTTGAGAAATGTGAGAATAGCATTATAGTAGCTGGTGTCAAAGTCCGAAAGAACACAACCCTCCTAATTATAGGCTCACTTTTGATGCAACAGTCCAGTCCAACTTTCCCAATCCAAGTCGATGTTGAACTTATGTCATGTTTTTGGACCCACTAAGACCTGCAGAGCCATTTCCTCAGATCTATTAGGTAATTTCTTGAGTCCTGGAAGAAGGTGATGTTTAACTTGAATTGACATTGAAATTCTTCTGTTTTTTATTCCTCATCAGAGAGCGTGTTGTGAACACCAGCCGTCCAGGAGAGATGCAGGTCACCATTCAGAATCTGATGCCTGACACCAAATATCGCTTCAGGGTCACGGCTCACAACAGCAACGGGCAGGGCGAGAGCTCTGCAACGCTCAAAGTGGCCACCCAGGCTGAAGGTAGCGCACACACACACACCGGTTGATTTTATATGTGCTCAGTAAACAGCGCACATAAGCATGAAGGCAAACTCAAACCAGTTTGTTGGAAACGTGCTCACTGTGGTAAACAGGATGCACTCAAACGGAGTGCAAAAACTCGGCAAACACACATCCACATGAACAAATATTCACTCACTTGCAGCTGGTGTTCACTTCAAATACACACCTCATCTCACCTTCACACACAGGGCTGTGTAATGCTCCACGCTGAAGCAGACCACCCAACAGCAAACCAGAGAAATGCATCCCTTTGCCTCCTGTGAGCCACTTCTTGTTGACTCCCTAACTTCTAGTATAGCCCCAAGTGTCTGCTTTGCTTTAAGCCTTACCCACCTGAGTGAGAAGCAGTTGAAATTAGCATTCCATATCCCAGCTCTTGTCTCGTCTTTACAGAGGAGCAACGGAGCGACTCATTAGGGTGTTTTAACAGGAGGACGTGCGTGAGCCACTGGAGGGGATAAGAGACAAAGTGCCTTTCTTCTTCATTTTTCTTCAATTTATTGTAAGTGAAAACCTCCGTGGGGCCCGCTGCTCTAAATCCCCCTCAGTTTTACCCATAATTCTTCATGCTGTAGAGGGGTTTCCCCCAGCACACCGTCAGCCCGTGGACATCCTCCTGTCTGAGCTGCTGCTTAGTCTCTGTCTACAGCTTTGTAGGTCAGAGGCACACACACACACACACACACACACACACACACACACACACACACACACACACACACACACACACACACACACACACACACACACACACACACACACACACACACACACACACACACACACACACACACACACACACACACACACACACACACACACACACACACACACACACACACACACACACACACACACACACACACAAAATACCTTGATGCCTTTGCCAGCAGGAGCTGAGCCACCCATGGGGGCAAGGGCAGGCTGTACAAGTGTGTGCGTGCACGCGCACTTCTGGTATAAGGACATTCAATGAATTGGAGCTTAAACTGTTGACCTGCATGTGAGTGCCTGCTATATGCACACAATGCTGTCCTATATCTGTCCACCCTAGAGAATGGCCTAATATGTTTGTATGTGTGTGTGCCAAACACACACTTCCATCATCCACGCACCTTAACAAATATGGGGGCCTTCTTTCTTGTGTCAGAAGCACCTGCGGCTAAAGGTTACAGGTTAGCTACAGTGCAGACACACAGCATGTCTTCCTGAAAGCAACAACCACCGTTACAGGAGGAACAGCTACGTTGGACACAAACGGTTTTATAAGTCATGGAATAACTGAGGCGCATATATTCTTGTGTCTTTCAGCAAACTTCATCTGATATAAACATTATGTCATGGCTCTCAGTTGTAATTTAAAGAGTCTTAATTACATAAAGCAGTTTAAACTCCTCATCTGAATTTTACTGATGTTATAATTAAAAAAACACCCCAACGCTGATGCTAAAGGCCTAGCATTTTTTCCAGGGCATGATGACATTAAAGGTTAATCTCGTGTAATATTGCATGATCTGCGTCTGCTATCACTTTGCTGTCAATGACTCTCACATAAGCTCAGTGTCTGTAAAGTTTTGAGCGTTGGAGACATGTTTGTGTTTGCTGGGTTAGATTAGCTGTGATGACCTTTTTGAGCTAGATTGACTCCAAAGTTAGTCAGTTGTTGATGTACATTCATTTATTATTTTCCAAGAGTTTCATAAAAATCTGTAGTTCATGAATTATTTCATTAACAAGCGAACACACACCGGTACTTCAGAGTGTTTCATCACACTGTCTTTATTCTTAGATCTTTGACTATAATGCTGTCTTTTTGGGATTCAGGAAAGCAAAACAAACAAAATCAAAGTCTCTGTATGAAGTTTCACAAACGTCTGTTGTAAAGATCGTGTGGTCTGAAAGGGCCTGTGGCAAAATGTTTTTGATGCTGTCAGAAATGCAGGATTCCAGTGTGACTCCTGTTCTTACAAGCCCAGTTGATGCTGTAGGAACTCGGAGTGAAATGATGAAATCATGTGATGTCATTTAAAAATAACCAAACTCAAACGGGACGGATGGAGGTAAAACATTTAAAGGTTCATCTTTGTAAAGTGTTTTCTGCTATGGGCCAGTCAGGTCCTACTCAGTTTATGTTCATCTGACCTGATATTTGCATTTAATTAAAACTAATTCATAGTTTAGGCATCGAGCAAACTTATAGAATTGCCGAATTACTAACCTTTTCGTACTCATCTCATGCAACACAGTGACGAGGCTCTCTTGGGATAAATAAGCTACATGAATAAAACTGAGGGATGAAATGTTTTCCCTGACATGCAACTTCAATTACAAAAATCAAAATGTCCGGTGGATTAGAAGCAGCTGAACTATGCACATGTATGATTTTCTGCTCTCCTGTGTGTTTGCACCAGTCCAAGTGCCAGGCCCGGCTCCCAACCTGCAGGCGGTGGCCAACACGCCGACGTCGGTGTCTCTGAGCTGGGACAAACCCCTCACAGGAAACGGAGAGATCCTCACCTACAAGCTGTTCTATACAGACAGAGGTTTTGGCAGTGAACTGGTAGGTAGAAAATCAGCATGCAGTGGGTCCACATTAACGTTTAGTTTAAATGTTATGGGGGACTTTTTTCCATTGAAATGGCTGCCATTGTCTTCAGAAGAAGAAAAAATGTTTTATTTCTAATTCAACCATTATTACACACCACAGTCATCTCAATTCCATCATCCAGTAAAGCAAGAGTAATTGTTTTTGCTCTGATTAAAGTGGAAACTAACTATTCAAAGAAATGAAATCAATGGATGATTTCAGGATGCTCCTAAATGTTTTCAATAAATAAAGAAGATAAAAAGATGTTTATGACCAAGCCTTATAGGGCACTCATTGAAGTATTCATTTTTTTTATTTCAATTCCAGGGTGTTGTTGTAGTCCATAATCAAAGTGTATTTCTGTTGTTACAATTTTAAAAAATCAGAGAAAACGAAGTGATCAAATATGGACGTTGGCCCAGTTCTGGTAACAGAAATGCCAAAATAAAATAACACGAACAAGTTAAATAAACATTATTTTTGAATAATAGATAGTAAGGCACTTTAGAATAATGTAGCTAATTTAGAACATTATATTACCTTTCAAAAATACAGAATATATCACAATTAATAAACAATATAGTATATTTTAATATAAACAGATTACTGTGGAATATTTTGAAAAGTTATTGAACAACAGTTACTGTTTCTGATCAAATAAAGATTATTATAATATTTTAGAATATTTTATATTTGAGGATCTGTCTCAATGTCATCTTCCTCCTGTTGGTTGACACAATAACTGTCCTCCATTTTTCTACAGAATTCTCAGTTTAAAACTGCAAAATATTTTTAATATCATAATTGTTATTATTATTGTTTTCATGAATATTACGATTATGTCTAGAAAGCAACAGAAGGTACCTAAAAATATTCATAATTTCTTTTACTTGTTCAGGGCTTTTTTTTAAACCTGGCAGATTTGATTTTCATGCTGTGATTTCACCGACTTCATTGAGTTTAACATTCACAACACATATGTCCTTATTTAGCACAACTAGTCAACCTGGTTATGTGAGAGTTTCATAAACCTACCATTGTTAGTTTTACAGATCTGACTGTAAAAATGTGAGGAGTTTTCTGGCTCTGCAGACACACCGATATTTAGCTCTTTATAGCTCCGCACTGATTGGTGGAATGGCGCCATGGCGCAAACCGTGGCTAGCTTGATCTCTGATGATTGTTTGGGTGAAATCCTGTAATTCTAACAGTTTGTGAAAAGGCACACCAACATAATTTATGATGTGAGTGGAAGTGTCTAAATATGGGCGTTGGCCCTATAAAGGGTTAAAAACATTATACTTCTGGCCTCTTAGACAACATGACAGAAATTCAAACACAGAAGTGTGTGGCTGGCCGTAGATTAGCAGGGCGATAAAATCAGTCTACTTTTACTGTTCTTAGGTTTCATTCTTGGGTTAGTCGTCTCACAAATAAATTAAGCAGCTATGGTGTTAAGTCTGTTCCTGCAGCGGTCACTCTGTTGTGAAGGTAGAATATAGCTGCCTAGAGACTCGGTCAACCCCAACTGTAGCATTGCACAAGCCAGCGAGGCATTAAAAAGCCTTTAATATGATAATGGAAGGAATGTCAGCTGGTGCTCTGAGTAATGATGCCTCAGCTCCCTGGAGAAGGGAGAGCCAGAGATGAGGTGGAAGCCTAGCCATGGTGAAAAGAAGGCGAAGAGGAGGTGAACGAACCAGAGGTGAAGCTAGGAGGACGCCATGCAGAAAACCATCAAACGGTAAAGGGCAAAGAGGAGCCAGAGACCAGGTATCACACAGTCGAGGTTGATGTGGTCGCGGGTGAGCATCTGACCTGAGGGGAGAGTTGGAAAGAGGGGAGATTAGATTCTCTGGTTTTTATTTAAAAATGTCACAAGGAAGTAGCCGGATAAAGATAGGTCTGATGGAATCAGACTCAGTTTGTGAAGCAGTGAGTTCTCGTCACAGCGGGAAGGTTTGATGCAGGAAGGCACGTTTTCTTATTTGCTGTGTTTTTGTAAGTTCAATTCAATTCAAGTTTATTTATATAGCGCCAAATCACGACAAGAGTCGTCTCAAGGCACTTCACATAATAAACATTCCAATTCACAGTTCATTAAGCCAATCAGAAATAATGTTTCCTATATAAGGAACCCAGCAAATTGCATCAAGTCACTGACTAGTGTCAGTGACTATACAGCAATCCTCATACTAAGCAAGCATGCAGCGACAGTGGAGAGGAAAACTCCCTTTTAACAGGAAGAAACCTCCAGAGAATCCTGGCTCAGTATAAGCAGCCAGCCACCACGACTCACTGGGGATCGAGAAGACAGAGCAGGCAAAGTTGAATGCCAAAGTGTCCACGCTTGTCTTGTTTCAGGATGTCGACGTAGATGGTCAGTCCTACACCATGACCGGACTGAAGAAAAACACGGAGTACAGCTTCCGTGTGGTGGCCAACAACAAGCATGGGCCTGGCGTCTCCACAGACGACGTCGTCGTCCGCACGCTCTCAGACGGTCAGTTCGTAGATGAACTTCTGTATGTGGCTACTTTAGGTTTTAGTAACGTCTTTATTCAATAGGTTGTAATGGCTTTGTTAAAATCTGCAAACGTCTGTTCAACTTCACCAGACCTGGCGCCAGAAGCTCAAATCTGTGTCCACATGTTCAAACTCAGGTCACTTTATACAGAAACCCACACTCCTCCAATCACCAGTAAAAAAAACATTGTTGAGTTTAATTTAGCTGGGTTGATGATCAGAGAGGAAACACATCAGTTACAGATTTAGAGATTTTCTATGTTGATTTTGTTGCCGATTTATTAATAATTAGGATTTGAAAGTATTTATTTATTAAAAATCAGCAGCAAAACAAATAGTGAAAACTTATTATACTCGCTTGTATTTATTAAATTTATTAAATGCCTCATCAGTACAGAGTTAATTATGACTAATTGTCTGTTTTGTCTAATCAGTGACACAAAACCTAGCTTTTCTCTTCCTTACAGCTCTAACAGAGAAAATTCAACTTTTTGTCCCCTAAGAAGGAGTTTTAAATGTGGTTCTTACCTGTCGTGTTCTGTCGTGCCTTTCTCAACTCGTCGTTTTCTTTGCAGTTCCAAGCGCTCCGCCTCAAAATCTCACTCTGGAGGTCCAGAACTCAAAGGTAAGACTCGAGCGGATGAGCAGACGAGAATGCAACTAGCTACCTTGTGTTTAATTTGGCTTTAGTTGAGAGTTTTAGCCTTTATTGCTCTCTCTTTCAACCCGGTAGCAGCAACAAGCACAAATGCATCTAATCTGTGAACAAACTGGCTCACTCAGGTGCAGTAAACACACACACACAAACAGTTAGTAGATCTGTAGCCGGCATGCCGGAGCGCCCTTTACGCTTTGTGATTTCACAGCTCCGTATTCTCAGCTGGTTCGGATGGTGTGTGGATCTTCATCGGTCTCATCAGCTGGAGACGGGCCTGTCAGAAGGTTTTATCCTGTATCACTCAGGCTCGGAGACCTGCGGGTCAGAAATAAATGATCCAAAAACTCTTTCAGGAGTCTTCATTTACTAAATAAACAGAAATTTTGGAGATGTGAAAAATCTTTACTTTTCACCTTAATTGGCTTATTTCAGACCTGTTTCAGAAGTGTTTAAAAGTGAGATTTGAATGTTTAGTAGTTAGAACAACTTTGTTACACTTGAACATTCTGTAGTTCTTGTATGAAACTCCTGATTAGACACGGCTGCTGAGGTGGCTGCTGGCTTCACAACAAGCTTGTGATTAAAATGGAAAGCAAGCCTCTCCCTCCCATCGTTTTAGCCATTTGATCTTCAAACGGAGAGCTGTAGGCCTATTTATTGTGGATCTCCACAAGAGTGATGGATTAAATTTTACAAAAGATGCTTCTCAATCCTGACATGTGAGACAGCGGGCGCAAAAAGAAAGCTGCAAAAAGATTTGGGGTGAGGGAAAGAGGAGGGATGAGGGGACCTCGGGGTGCGTGGATCGACTTCAGAAACGGCGGCCAGCACTTTCAGCCCTCCACTGGTCGATGCAAAGCCCACTTGAGAGGAGAAACTGATGAGACAATCCTATCACATCCTCTCAGCCCGAGTCCAGACTGACCACCCCTGCTGAGGGAGGCTCTGCTGAGAGTTGTGGTGAGAAAACGTTCTTGTGCTAATTTTAAAACTGAAATGAAGACGGGGCCCCTGGGGAGAGGGCAAGGATTGTTTTCTGAATACTTAATTAAAACACAGAGAAAACAACTTAATCCACTGAAACCAAACATCGCTGAAGTTATTTATTCTTCATTCTTTTTTAAATTTGTATGGGACGTGTTTAATTATAGCTATTAAGGCAACTCTAGAGCAATATACAAAGAATATATGCAATTAGCTATCCAGAGCACCCCGTCAGATGCAAATAGGTAAAAATAATTGGTTTTATTTTTAGTCCCCTCTCTTTTTGGGTATTTTCAGGCAGAATCTTTTATCTTTTACCTGGAAGGCAACCTGAAAATCATGTTTGTGATCCTACTCATCCCTTTCTCTTTTCGCCTTTTGGCATCTTCCTTTTCACACCTTCCCCTGTGATTTGACAAAGTAAATTAAAGGGCTTTTTGTGATTAGGGAGAAGACGGGAGAAAAAGCAGCACACATCCCGATTTGGGGCCTACAGTGTAATAAGAAAAATGGAAATAATTGAACACACTTAACCCAGTTTTAATTTGTGTGATTCCCTTGGCTCTGCAGGGGAGGAGCCTGCGTGAGCCCTGAACAAGCATTCAGGCTTTTGTGCTTCAGTGTGACAGTGAGGAAGCGTTAATTAACTGTTCTCTCATGCCGAGTTACCCCCCACCTATCTTTAAACACACACCAATATTCAGATGCCTTCATCCCACGGCACTGCAGCCCGCCAACAAAAGCCCAAAATTCATCAGTTTGACTCAGTTTCTCTGCAGGCTTAGCTGGAACGCACGCACACACACACGCACACACACCCACACACACACACACACGAGCACGCACATCTTACACATCAGGACGCCTTCTATTATTCATGTTTATTTCCTCGCAATGCATCAAGTTGCACTCCAGCTCAGAGGGGTGTTTGTTTTTGTGAGGCCCTCCTGTTTACACCCGTCTGTAGGAGGGGGGGGGGGGGGGGGCACGACCAGGGTTTGTGGGAGTGTGTTGCGCTACCTGCTAAACTGAGTTCAGTTTTACAGCTGTAGGCCCAGATGTGCTAAGAAATGTCATTTGTCCCGCTGGATTTGTGTTTTTCCCCCCTACTAGGGCATCATGCTTCGCTGGCAGCCCCCGCCCCTCAGCGGCCAGAACGGGGAGATCACCTCCTACAAGATCCGGTACCGTAAAGGGTCCCGGAGGAGTGAATCAGCCGTGATCACTGCAGGCACTCAGCTGTCCAAGCTCATTGACGGTAATGATTCTTACATCTTTTGAAAGCGTCATTGAGTGTTCTAAAAAGCACTATGTAAGTTTGATTTATTATTATTATTATTTTTTTTGTTAGCTAAATTAAACCTGATTTCACTCCTAAATGTTTGTTTTACTACACAACTCAAATGAGTCAGTTAATTGGATCAGGGGCTAAAATGTGATTAAATCACTTTGTTACAGAAAAACCTTTAAAGCAGCTGAAAACACCTGTTCAGGCTGGCTTTGGTGTGACCTTCATCACCCTCTCCTTGTTCTGCGCTCCCTACTTCCCACCTTCCTCAGGATCCACTGATTTCCCTCTTTCCTATTATCTCTCTCTTTCTTTACATTTTTTAATCACAATTGTCTATTTTTGCTCATTTAAAATACATTTTTAATTACTTTCTAAATTCTTTTTTTTTATATTTTACATTTTTTGTTTTTGTGAAGCACCTCGTGACTTTTACCTTGAGAGGTGCTATAGAAAAGATCTTTTCTTCTTCTTCTTTAAAGAGCAAGTTCAAAGTCTCTCTGTGTTTAACATGCAGGCTGAATGTGAAAATTGTCTTCTGTTCCTATTTCCTGCATTAGCCAGCAATAGTGAATAGATGGAGAGATGATTGGGTTAAAAAACCCACTCACAACTATGTCACACTGAAAATTTGCATTGGTGGACTCACCCAGCTTGGCTCGCGATAGGGAAGACTGTTGTTGGTTTAGCATCCAGGAAACAACAGAGCACATCTCGACGAGTAGAAGCCAACCGTTAGCATTAGCAACTCCACCACACAGCAGAACTCCTTCAAGCTTGTGTTATAAGTAAGGATGAAGCATCAACATTGCAGAGCAAACAGAGGCGAATCCTGAAGCCTAATTTATACTTCTCAGTCAGCTCCACGAGGGAGACACACGCTCTCTGGCTTCTCCGTCTCACCACATCTGAACCATGATTCCTGTCATTTTTGTCCGCGAATAAAACGCTGGCTGCTTTTTATTTTTATTTTTTTCAATCCACCAGTCACGCGTGAGTAAAACGTTCATATTTTAGAGTTTTTCCGCGAGGTATTCTTCAAGCTTCTCCGTGTCTTCTGCTAGATATCTTTGGTTCTCTTTATGTTTTTGAGAGCGCAATGGCAGCACTGTTGACAACAGCGGCTACCTGACCGATCACAAGCTTGCATTCTCCGTCTTGTTGGATGGACGTTTAGAAAAGAGAGCTCGACTCCATCCGTCCTTGCGAGCCCGCTGAGAGCCCTCGAAAGGATGGATAAAGGCGTTGCGAGCGTCCATGCCGACGCAGGTGGAGAAGTATAAATTAGCCTTAACCCTAAAATAAGCTTTTATATCTTTGCATGCAGTGGCCATAGCTGTGATGTTACAGACTACTTTTTTGTATGATGTGAAATTCAGCTATTAATAATTCAGTCAGACTCCAAAAATGTAAAGAAAACTTGTATTGAACAACATTTTTTGTTGTGCCCAATTGATGTGCAAATACTAAATAGTTAAAAAGCAACCCAGTCTTTGGGACAAACTGGCGTTTACACAAAAAAAACATGTCTTCCAAATGTACCCACTGGCTTTCGCACTTGTATTTGAACCTGTCTCTTAGGTCAAAGACGGCGAGGCTGATCCTCTGTGAGAACAGAGAAAATAAGTAGTGCTAACTCTGTGAATGAATGGCGTCTTTGACTCCAAACTGTCTAATTTTAATGCTCTAATCCCTGAGATTATCTCTTGAGTTCTTTTTTAATGCAGATATCAGAATGATCCTTTTCACCTAATTTTAAAACAACGAATCTAGAAAGATTTCTTGAGGGGAAATTTTGTTCCTTTGGAGGTTTTTTCCCCCCTTCAGACTTTTCAAATTGGTCCGGTGTTTAATGTTTTATGCTGTCAGTCCCAGTTTTATCTCTACTGGATGTATCCCAGAGTGCATTCTGTCTGAAGTGCTGCAATATTAAACATCATCATGATGATGTTGAGTCAGTCTTGTTGTAGGTCTGACTTTCAGCTAAATACTTTGAAATGAAGTTACACGCTTCACTGTGGTGAGATTACATGCTGCTCCCCACCAAAATATGCACGATGTCACCAGAGAGACACGGCAGCAGTGATTAATATTAGATGTTGTCTCAGCAACTTTCAAGTGGCCCGGCCCCCCGCTGTGCACTGCATCAAAGAGAATCCACACTTTAAAGTTGATTTTTGGAGCTTGTTCTGAATGTGTGGGGGGGTGAGACAGAGGGGTGTTTGTTGGTTCAGAAGCATTAAGGAGGATATGTTGTTGCCTCAGAGGCACAGATGGTTAGGTAATGTATGAGAGCCCCCCCACCCCCCCACCCCCGATAGGGTGGCCCTGAACAGTGAGGGAAACAGAAATAGATGACGACAGGATTAGTGTGTAGCAACCAAATGACACAAAACGATGACAGTGACATTTTATATTGCAAATTAATACAGAAACACATCATTTGTCACCAGCAACAACTCCTCCTCTATGAATAGCAAAGCCAGCACCCAGTGGTGATGCAGCTCTCTCAGAGGGAGTCGTGGCTATAAAATATGAATGACTATGAAGCACAGTATTCTGACTATCTTACTTTTTATCATCCATCACACCGTTTTATTGTTTTTCGTAATAGCATATGTTTTTTACAATCCTCTAAAACTTTAATTAAAGTTCAAACCTTATTCTGGAGCTTCCCCAGAAAGGGGAGCGTAAAAGAACGTTAACAGCACCTCAGCAGGAGCCACTCGAGCCCTCCCAAGGCAAACTTTAAAATTCCCTCCTTAAAACTGTTTGAGGCATTAGGAGTTATAATAGGATACTTCTCCTGCCTCAGAAGTGAAATTTTGAACCATCCAACCAAGTGGAGAGCATCATTAGTTATAGGATAAAATCAGACTTGAGAACAAATATCAGGTTGTTGTGGCTTCGGCTCAAATGCTACACACCTACTAAGGCCTAGTCCACACGTAGCCGGGTTTTTTTTTAAACGAATATCCGCCCCTCCTAAAACTAGCATCCACACCACCTCGTTTAAAAGAAACTCTGTCCACACGTACCCGGATAAATACGTTGTTAAGGACATGCCAGACCTGTAGGCGGCAGTACTTCCCCCGTTCTTAACCTCGTCCTTCGTCTGTGGTCTTCCGCAAGGAGAAGTAATTCCGCTTGCAAAAACAAACAAGCAAAAAGCGCTTGGACAGTTGATAAAGCGAGCGCAGCTCTGAGGGCATCCATGCTGTCGGCTAGTGTAAACACAGGTCGCACACGTGATGTCAGCATTTTTTTGTCGCGGAAAGTGACGTTGCGGACCTTAAAACTCCGGTTTTGTCCGTCCACACGCAGACACCCAAAACGGAGAAAACACAGATCTTCACTTTGGCCGGAGTTTTTAAAAAGATCCGTTCTCGTGTGAAAAAACTCAGTTTTCGTGTGGATGACAGGCCAAAACGTAGAAAAATATCTACGCTTTGGCAGATCCCCGGCTACGTGTGGACAGGGCCTTATAGTTCCTCTAGGACTACACCACAAACTCTCTCCAAGATGAATGAGATCCCTCCAAGTGTTCTTCAGTTGCAGCTTCAGGTCCAGACCTCAGATTTTAAACGTGAATCTTACCTGTGCAGGTCTCGAGCCCGGAACAGAATATTCCTTCAGGGTGTCCGCCACGACGGTGAACGGTACAGGACCGGCCACCGATTGGACCACAGCAGAGACATTCGAGAGCGACCTGGATGGTATAAAAACAGCCTCGTTTCATACAAACTGAACCAGAACCTGTCTTCAGATCGTTTCTTTTGAACAGATTGTTTGAGGTGTTCTACGTTTGCTCCACCAGAATCCCGTGTGCCTGACCAGCCGAGCTCGCTGCACGTCCGACCGCTGGTCAACAGCATTGTAGCGAGCTGGACGCCACCAGAGAACCAGGACATCGTGGTGCGTGGTTACACCATCAGCTATGGCATCGGAAGTCCTCACGCTCAGACCATCAAAGTGGACTACAAACAGCGTTACTTCACTATTGAAAACCTCGGTATGAACAAACGTTGGGTTTAATCCGCCCTGCTACATGTTTCATTTGCTGCTGTCAGTTTCAGCACAGATAGCTGAAAATTTGTTGATACAGAAACGTAAATTATGCACCAGTTTGTCATCGTTTCATCCGAGGGTGTTGTCTGATCTGTCAAATCCTACTAATCAGATATTAATACGACCTGTGGGAGCCGTGTCTTTGCACTACGCTGATTGCAGATATTTATAACAATTTACTTTCCTGAAGATAAATGTGTCACGTCTGATTTGATATGCCGAGTTTAATTACTAATGAGCTAAGACGCAGACCCACAAACACTGGGAACCAATTCATCGCCACCCCGTAATGAATGTTGTGGGAATTAATTAGCTCTTCTTCACCACACGCCAGAGCCACTAATTACACAGTTTGGACTAATAGGGGCACGGTTGCTAAAGGTCATAAAACAAATCGGTTTAGGTGCTAGTTTAGGTCAAATCTAAGGAAACTTGATCATTTGTTGTGACTGCACCTCAACGAAAGGCTTTTGTTTGTGCTTAAGTGCCTTTTTTTCTAACCCAGTATCGGACTATGTGACACAAATTGTATCTTGTGCTTGTTTAGTCATCTGGGAGGATAATTTAGATGCAAGACAGAAGAAACACTGTGGAGATTCTTTAAACAGCAACTCAGATTGGTTGTGTTTGTTTTAATAATGGGATAGTATTAAATGCTGCAGTTAAAGCACCAGGAATGGGTCCGTGAGTGAGTTAAAAAGTACAATTTGAGGAAATTTTTGAACGGATGAATTGTTGCACATATCTATTTGTGCATAATTGAATCTTTCCTTACTGTCACAGTGAGTGGAATGATTGTATTCAAATATTCACTGTGCTAATATTGCAATTAAGGCTTGAGAGTCTCCAGTGTTTCGGCTTGATTGGATGGTGCATCAGTTTATCTCCCTCATCCCGTCTCTCGCAGACCCCAGCTCCCACTATGTGATCACGCTGAAGGCCTTCAACAACGTGGGGGAGGGGATCCCCGTGTACGAGAGCGCTATCACCAGACCACAGTCAGGTACAGACCACACACACCTGCACACACGAATCTGCTCCTGTCTCAATCAGAGGAAAATCAAAGGAAATAAACGTAAAACATCTGTGGCTGAATTTTCTTCTTCTTCAGCAGCTCAGAAACGGGTTTAATGTCTTCCTCTGATCACACACACAACATAAGGGATGCTGCTCATGCTGCGCGGCTGGGTTCACGTGGACTGACAATTATCTTTGCCCTCACGCTAACCTGACATCATTATCACACAGAATGTGTCTCGACTCTAAATTACTGAGAAGAAAATGGGTCATCGGCCCATCTCACCGCTTTAATTACCTCACTTCTTCATGGATCCAAGTACACTTAAAAATCTTTTTAATCAAATGATCACAACATCAAATCTTGCCCCTTTATTAACAGTCATGATTATTAGGATGCAGGTGAGGTTATTTAGGATCATTCTGTGTAGAAAAGGTCAGAAATAACTAGCATACTGATATAAAACATTGTCGTGAAACAATTGAGGCTTTTGCTTGTTTTTTAACTCTTGCAGTGAATATAGATGAATTGTTCCTCGATATGTTTCCCACCTAGACAGAGACACTCACCTGAATTCTCTCTTCCCATGAAAAATAACACTGCCCAGAAATTCAGATTTCTAGATGTGCTCTCATTTGTTGAATCAAATTAATTTGATTAGCAGCACCTGGCTGCTTCTCAGCCACTTCATTTTCATAGAAGCAGCTAAAGATGGACTCAGTTTTTCACACCAACCAAATATTACAACCAAAGTATGCAGAAGAGCATCTCTGAACACACGACACATCGAACCTTGAGGCAGATGGGCTACAGCAGCAGAAGACCACAACGGGTGCCACTCCTGTTAGCTAAGAACGGGAGGCTGAGGCTACAATTTGCACAGGATAATAGAATTAGACAATAGAGACTGGAAAAATGTTGCCTGGTCTGATGAGTCTCGATTTCCGCTGCAACATTTGGATGGTGCGGTCAGAATTTTGCACCAACAACATGAATGCATTGATCCATCCTGCCTTGTATCAACGGTTCAAGCTGGTAGTGGTTTAATGGTGTGTGAGATGTTTTCTTAGCACATTTTGGGCCCCTTAGTGCTAATTGATCATCGTTGCAACACCGCAGCCTACCTGATCATTGTTGCTGACCACGTCCATCCCGTTATGACCACAAGTGTACCCATCTTCTGATGGCTACTTCCAGCAGGATAATGTGCCATGTCATAAAGCTGGAATCATCTCAGACTGGTTTCTTGAACATGACAATTAATTCGCTGTACTCAAATGGCCTCCACAGTCACCAGATCCCAATCCAATCAAGCACCTTTGGAATGTGGTGGAACGGGAGATTCGGATCATGGACGTGCAGCCGACATAGCTGCAGCAAATGCGTGATGTGAATCATGCCAATGTGGACCAAAGTCTCTGAGGAATGTTTCCAGTACCTTGTTGAATCTATGCATTGAAGGATTAAGGCAGTTCTGAAGTCAAAAGAGGGTCCAACCTGGTACTAGCAAGGTGTACCCAATGAAGTGGCCAGTGAGTGCATGTTGATGGATTTTACTGTTTTCTTCCTGAATGTACACAACACTTTTATATGGTTTAGTGCACCTGCAAGGCAAAAACTGTCCCCAGAAATTCTTCATATTCACAAGAAGAAAATATCTACATTATTAAAGTACCATAAACTGCATAGGTTCAATTGGATCTGACAAAAATGTTGTCGGTAAAAATGTGAATTCAATAGCTGCTGATTCACCTCCGTTTTCAGAAGCAAGAAAAATGTATTTTTAAAGGACATCTAAAATATTCAATGTTGAAGCTGTAAAATCCACTCAAAAATAATTTCATGTTAATGACTTTTAAATTCCTGCAAGGCATATTCATTCAGAATCCCTAGAATTAATCTTCTTCCAGCTGCAGACTATCTTGTCCAGGAAATGGACATCATAACTCTTAGACACAGTTCTCAAATAATAAAAGGGACAAAGTCAACCCTAATTATTCCAATGCAAATTGTTCATAATGCCAGATGTCTGTGGCCTCAAGTATTCATTATTAGTTTGGTTCTCGGATACAGGCAGTGTATTGTTTGATGTATCTACACAGTAGATTGAAACAGCTTTGTTGCTTTATCCAAACCTTATGGACTTAGGTTGCAATCAGAGAACGCGCAATTTAATTAAGGCCCAGATCACAACCCTGGTAACAATTAGAAGTTCAGCCCCAAATCAATACTGCTTGACAACTGATTGTAGAACGCTGCCGTTTAGACTTCGCGTTGGCTGAGTTCATACAGTTTATATGACAGTGTGCGCTCCCCGGAGTGTCCCAGAATGTGGGCTGCACCCGCCTCCCCGCTCAGCCTTGATCGCTGCAGTTTGTCTCTGCTGCGGCGCTATTGCACCACTGAGTGTGAGAGGGGTGGGATGCCTGGTGACATGAATCACATCAACATGCTTTGAGAGAGAGAGGAAGAAGGTGTGTGGTGGTGTGGCAGCTTAAGTATGTGCACACACCCACACACTGTCATACTGTACACTTTCTGTCTAAAAAGCTTCCTCACGTCCTCACTTGCTCGCACTCGCTGCACTCATGCAGAACCCCTGTGGTGGCGTTGGCAACCCTTCGTCAGATCCAAATGTTTCCTCTCAAAGCAGAACCGAAGCCCACCACCGTCGTCGGCAGCTGAATCCTCGGGGCGCGTTCCCTTCCTGCCAGTTTGTTCAAGTCAGATTTATAAAGACGAGCTGACCTACATAGTACTTTTACTTTTGCAAAAAAAAAAAAAAAAAAAATATATATATATATATATATATATATATATATATATATATATATATATATATATATATATATATATATATATATATTGAAGAGAAAACTTTGTGAACTTAGGCTGAACGAGTGCTTGGCTGGATACTCGATGACTTTATAATGTCTAACTCAAACCAAGGAAATGAGAAATGTCTCCTTAAAAGACAGAAACATTCTCAAGACAACTGGTCTTTTCTGGAGCCTTCTCTCTCTGGAAATACTCTTAATTCTTCCAAGCTGGGTAAAGAACTGTGTGCCATTCCTAAACTTCAGCTTCTCTCAACAACCACATGAATGGCTGAATCTTCAACATGCTCTCACACACACACACACAGACTCAGTCTTGGGAATATAATGAGGGCAGCTCGGTACAGAGGTGTCAAATGAAGCGAGGCGGAGAGTAGAGGACCACCAAGTGATCGAGGAGGAGTGTCACCACGGTTGACCAAGCAAGGCTTTTTCTCCCATCGCAGCTAAACCAAGTACAGAACCAGGAGCGCTGAAACCAGAAGTCCATCTTGAAGCATTTATCCTGCAGTATGTTGGCCAAGAGCTGATACTTAGCCCATCTTCTACACCAGATACATGTTTACTGTGTGTTATGAAGGAATGAAATGGGCAGGGGCCCCTCACACAAACAGATGTAGGTGTTCTTTATGTATGCATGTATACAACCACTGCTGCTCTAACAAATACAGGAACACGTTGTCTGTACTCAGCTCACAAGATGATGAGTGAATCGCCTTTCAGCTTCTGGTTAAGAGGAGAAGCTTACTTGGGACTCTTGAATGACATAAGGGGCTGTGATTGGTCCATACTTACATACCCATTAACTGGTCATTCAAATTGAGTGCTCTTTCATAACCAACACGATTAAAACTCTAGTTGTGTTTCATTTGTATCTTTGTAATCTTGCTCTGTTATGAGTCATATGTCCTCTACCATGGAAGTTGAGGTTTCAGGGATGATGTTTGTCACTATGCAACGTTGCATGCGATACAGGTATTAATTTCTGGTTAAGAAAATTAACATTTTTGCTGCGACTTTTTACATTTACACGTTAGTTGATGAATCACATGAACCTTTGTAAACTGCATCGGAGACTGTTACGTCATGGGTGGACATAATATCACTGCAGCACGCTTTTAGGAGACCTTTAAAAATCAATTCTAGTCCAGAATTTGCATGTTACTGGACCAAAAGAGAAGGGTTCTGGCGGTCCTTCAGCAGAGCACTTCCATTTTTTAATTTTTTAGTGCAGAAGGTCTTTGAGCTGCAGAAGAAAAGCAGCACGTATCCACTCAGCTACAGTCTCCACTTGTTCCTGACCCCTCCTCTCCTCTTCACTGGTGGGCTCTGTACTTTAAGCCTTATTTTTCCTTTCACAGTTTTGAAGGACATAATTCGCCTCGTCAACGCTATCCTGCAAAAAGGGATGGAAATTCCAAAGCGCTCTTTGCCCCTGCATTCATCCACTTTGTGTTGAAGATGTTGTTATGAAATTGTCAATGATGTAAACACACTCCTGAATTGCCTCCCTCTGTAAAGGGCTCAGGTCAAAACATTAATATGTATAAGAAATATTGCATGTAGGATTGTGGGTATCTACTTTTCCATTTTCTTTGATCCTTTAATGTGAACAGATGATCTCTTCCTGTCTTTCTGTAGTGCCACAGTCTCCGTAGTTAGAGCGTTGTAGCTTTTACATAGCAGCCATCTTACTGTAGAGGTCAGTTTCTGTTTTTTCTAATAGAATTTTCTCTCTTTCTCTTCAACCTCCCCAATCCCATCCTTGTTGCACATCCCTGACTTTATCCCTCCCTCGTCACCATCAACCTTCATTTTTAACTTATTAACCTTGTGTTTTGCCCCGTGACCACCCCCTTCCTGTTACGACTCCACTGTCTGACCCACCACACCATGCTTCTTGTTCTGTTTTAATTTTTGGTCCATTTTTAATTTTGTGTGTAATGCATGCGGGTTTACTGCCATGTCATGCAGACCCCATAGACCCTGATGTTGACTTGTATGAACTGTTCCATGCTCCATACACCCCAGTACCAGACCCCTCCCCCATGATGCCTCCCGTGGGTGTTCAGGCCTCCGTGGTGAGCCATGATGCCATCAAGGTGACATGGGCTGACAACCTGTTGCCCAAAAACCAAAAGATCACGGATAATCGCTACTACACCGTACGATGGAAGACCAACATCCCCGCCAATGCTAAAGTCAAGGTAAGATGATTTCTTCTTTTTCCTTGTGTTGTAAATGTACTCCCAATTTTGCCCCTTAAGGGATGCTAAGTAAGTCATTCGTATTTTTAAATAATTTTCTTGAGCTAGTATCTGCTAAAGCGACCCTTTACATGGTTAATGAAAAGTCACTCAGCCCCCTCCGCCACCTGTGTCCAGAATACCACATTTGCAACTTCAGAGTATCCGGACCACTCCCCTGAAGTCTCAGAGTCACACTTTATGGCAATTCATGTTTACACATCATAGCAGCTGAGCTATAGCTGATTAGCATTTATTGTAACATGTTCGTCATGGTGGAGCCTCAGAAGAAACAAAGAAAACATTTATCTGATGGAGCTAAAAAAAATTTAAGAACATCCAACCACAATAGGAGTCAAACAAGAGTTAACATCGAGAGTTTTGTGTATCATGAGAGCTCTGAGACAAATAAGGATTCAGATTGGACTTGTAAGTACAACTTTAATATGTTTTGTTTGTGCACTTTTAGCTTTACCTGGGTTTTTAATTATTTCTAAATATGTTTGTCAGGCGATAGTGATCACTTCCTGTTCCATCACCGATCATACAGGGAGTGCAGAATTATTAGGCAAATGAGTATTTTGTCCACACCATCCTCTTCATGCATGTTGTCTTACTCCAAGCTGTATAGGCTCGAAAGCCTACTACCAATTAAGCATATTAGGTGATGTGCATCTCTGTAATGAGAAGGGGTGTGGTCTAATGACATCAACACCCTATTTCAGGTGTGCATAATTATTAGGCAACTTCCTTTCCTTTGGCAAAATGGGTCAAAAGAAGGACTTGACAGGCTCAGAAAAGTCAAAAATAGTGAGATATCTTGCAGAGGGATGCAGCAGTCTTAAAATTGCAAAGCTTGTGAAGTGTGATCATCGAACAATCAAGCGTTTCATTCAAAATAGTCAACAGGGTCGCAAGAAGCGTGTGGACAAACCAAGGTGCAAAATAACTGCCCATGAACTGAGAAAAGTCAAGCGTGCAGCTGCCAAGATGCCACTTACCACCAGTTTGGCCATATTTCAGAGATGCAACATCACTGGAGTGCCCAAAAGCACAAGGTGTGCAATACTCAGAGACATGGCCAAGGTAAGAAAGGCTGAAAGACGACCACCACTGAACAAGACACACAAGCTGAAACGTCAAGACTGGGCCAAGAAATATCTCAAGACTGATGTTTCTAAGGTTTTATGGACTGATGAAATGAGAGTGAGTCTTGATGGGCCAGATGGATGGGCCTGTGGCTGGATTGGTAAAGGGCAGAGAGCTCCAGTCCCACTCAGACGCCAGCAAGGTGGAGGTGGAGTACTGGTTTGGGCTGGTATCATCAAAGATTATGAGCTTGTGGGGCCTTTTCGGGTTGAGGATGGAGTCGAGCTCAACTCCCAGTCCTACTGCCAGTTTCTGGAAGACACCTTCTTCAAGCAGTGGTACAGGAAGAAGTCTGCATCCTTCAAGAAAAACATGATTTTCATGCAGGACAATGCTCCATCACACGCGTCCAAGTACTCCACAGCGTGGCTGGCAAGAAAGGGTATAAAAGAAGAAAAACTAATGGCATGGCCTCCTTGTTCACCTGATCTGAACCCTATTGAGAACCTGCGGTCCATCATCAAATGTGAGATTTACAAGGAGGGAAAACAGTACACCTCTCTGAACCGTGTCTGGGAGGCTGTGGTTGCTGCTGCACGCAATGTTGATGGTGAACAGATCAAAACACTGACAGAATCCATGGATGGCAGGCTTTTGAGTGTCCTTGCAAAGAAAGGTGGCTATATTGGTCGCTGATTTGTTTTTGTATTGTTTTTGAATGTCAGAAATGTATATTTGTGAATGTGGAGATGTTATATTGGTTTCACTGGTAAAAATAAATAATTGAAATGGGTATATACTTGTTTTTTTGTTAAGTTGCCAAATAATTATGCACAGTAATAGTCACCTGCACACACAGATATCCCCCTAAAATAGCTAAAACTACAAACAAACTAAAAACTACTTCCCAAAACATTCAGCTTTGATATTAATGAGTTTTTTGGGTTCACTGAGAACATGGTTGTTGTTCAATAATAAAATTATTCCTCAAAAATATAACTTGCCTAATAATTCTGCACTCCCCGTACACTCACTCTAAGGCGTCCAGGAGGCACCCTAGCAAGATGCCCAAACCACCTCAACTGACTCCTCTCATGGAGGAGCAGCGGCTCTACTCCGAGTCTCTCCCAAATGTCCGAGCTCCTCACCCTATCCCTTAAGGCTGAGCCCAGCCACCCCATGGAGAAAACCCATTTCGGCCGCTTGTATCCGTGATCTTGTTCTTTGGGTCATTACCCAAAGCTCATGACCATAGGTGAGGACTAGGCGGTAGATCGAGAGCCTTGCTTTCAGACTCAGCTCCTTCTTCACCACAACAGACCGGTTCAGCGTCCGCATCACTGCAGACACTGCCCCAATCTGCCTGTTGATCTCCCACTCCCTCCTTCCCTCATTCGTGAACAAGACCCCAAGATATTAAACTCCTCCGCTTGAGTCAGGACCTCTCTCCCGACCCGGAGTTGGCAATTTTAATGTATAACTATTGTTATACTATAACTACTGTTCCTCCAACCTGGCTGAGCTGCCTTGGGGAGTGCCTCAGGGATCGATTTTGGCCCCACTATTTTTCTCACTATATCTCCTACCCCAGGGTGACCTATTCCGCAAGCTTGATGTGTCATTCCATCTATATGCTGACGATTGCCAGGTCATTTTTCCAATTAGGCGTGGTGGTTTATGCACCATTCAACCTTTGTTGGACTGCCTGGAGGACATCAAGCTATGGTTGGCTCAGAACTACTTGTGTTTCAACAAAAACAAGACTGAAGTAATTCTGTTTGCTCCACCAAAGATCTTAGGAGGTGCCCAAGGGCTTGATTTTTCCACACTGGCACTGCATCAGAAGGCGGTGGTTACTAACCTAGGGGTAAAGTTGAACGCAGAGCTCAGATTTGATTCTCAAGTGAATGGAATTGTGAGATCTTGCTTCTTTCATCTACGCCGTATAGCGAAAATTAAGCCATTTCTGTCACGTAGTCATTTGGAAACTGTGATCCGTGCCTTTGTTACCTGCAGGCTGGATTATTGCAACTCGCCATATGCGGGGCTCAGGCAAGCTCCAATAGCATGCCTCCAGGTGGTTCAGAACTCAGCTGCGCGGTTTTTAACATCTACCAGGAGGTCTGAACATATTACACCAGTCCTTCGTGCCTTGCATTGGCTCCCTGTCTCCTATCGCATCAGGTTTAAGGTAATCCTGTTTGTGTTTAAGGCGTTACACTCAGGGGCACCTAAATACTTTTCTGACATCATCCACCGACACGTCCCGGTGCGTTCCCTTATTAACCGTGCCCAGGTACAGCCTGAAGTCTCGTGGGAGACGTGCCTTTTCAGTGCTCGGACCAAGTCTTTGGAATGAGCTGCCAGCCGACATAAAGCAGGCCAAATCACTGGAGACCTTTAAAAGCCTACTGAAAACACATCTGTCCTCGTTGGCGTTTGGACATTGAAGTTGGGATTGCGTGGGCAGCATCACTTTGAATGTGTCTGGATCTGATTCTGGAAACAGGACTGATATGGATTGCGAACTTGTACTCGGGATTTCTTATTGTATTTTAAATGGTTATATGTCTGTTTTATTGTTGTGCTTGTTATTGGTGTACAGCATTTTATTGTTGTGCTTGTTATTGGTGTACAGCACTTTGTCCGTTTTGGGCATGTGAAAGTGCTTTATAAATAAAGTTGATTTGATTTGAACTATGAACTTTTTTTTCTTTTAAAGCTAAACATTATCATGTCTCAACTATTGTTTAAGACAAAACAAAACAAACTCAGAAGATGTGGAGTGCATCTTCTAAAATGCAAAGTATACACAATAAAACTAGAAGCCACTTGTATACAGGGGGCTACCTAATTGTCCACAGTTGTGTAAATATAGTGTCTAGTATAGATGAGTCTGGAAAAGGCATTGGCAGCAACATTCCTCAGCACCTTATTGAGGGAAGTGGAGGATTCTGATTAGTATGAGTAGAATTTTTGAGGGATTGGGATTTGCGACGAAAATAATTACCCTGGTAATATGAAGATCATTCTGAAGATCACTTTATGAAAAGGCACAGCATGATTATAAGCATCCTTTGGTAAGCAGAGCTGCAGGATTACTTTGAAGCTTCAGTGTTTCAGTGTGTTTACACACTTATCAGTATCATCCTCCACACTCCAGTACATCTGAATCTCTCCATATCTCAACACAAGCACAAAGTAGAATTATCAAATTGTGTAAATGAGCCATATTTTCCCCCATTAACTCGTTCTTTAGTAACAATCACTAAACGTAAACAGATCTTCTGTCGTACTGTCAAACGTAGTATTAAAATAGTGCATGATCGCGTCTAGAAAAATATGACACTGTCGTCAGAGGAAGCTCAAAGGGCAAAGTACGTGGATTAAGCTGGTAAATTTAGTTGCAGTGTTTTAATTTCCAGAAAACTAAACACAGTGGCTATTTGCACATCCGTGTGTCTGTTTTTGGTTTCATGCTTGTGTGCAAACCTGTGACCGAGCAGAGCTCAGAGACAGGCCTGCGTTTACTGATAAATTATTCAACAAGGACAAGACAAACGAAGAACCAGAAAAAGAGGGTGTAGATCTGACAATGCGTTCCCCGTACAGCCAACTCATGGGACAAACACACACACACTCGCTCTCTCTCTCTCTCAAATGAATGCAAACTAAAAAGAAAAGCCTTGCACACAATTTTTTTCCTTGGAGCTTTTTTGTCAGTTGACAAGCATCCGCATGTCAATTAACTGCAGAGATTTGATTTATTTATTGTTATTTGGAATAAAATTGAAGGAAAATGTGCTTTTTGAATAGTTTGTCAAAAATGTGTTCAATGAGACTACAACAGTAATACCAGCTCAGCTCATAAGTGGAGGATCGGTTTGATTCTCACACTCCAGTTGTGATTAAAGATCTGCTTCTAGCTTGTTAATGAAAAAATGTTAAGAAGGTGCTGTTCTCTGGAAACATCATTTGATTGTTTTTCTATGAGCATAGCTGTTCTGCAGATGTAAAAACACAGGCACCCTCGGTCTAATGCCTCTTAGATTGAGTCTAACCAGACAGCCTTGTGCATTATTGAGGGAATGGCTGCTCTTAAACTGGCTGTGTGTTGCTAAAGAGAAGAGTGGTTTCCTGTCCTACCCTACTGCCCTCTGTTTGGCAGCACCCAACGGAGAGCTACACTTTTGTCATTGCTAACAACATCACTGGCGAACCTGATTCTCCCACCAGGCTCAGGATATATTTTTATGCCACTCCAAGCCAGTGGAAAGCAAGATAAGTGGTTGCATAAGTCATAATTTTAGGTTATCTGTAAGGCATTTATATAATAAAGTGTTTTGCTGCTTATTTATTATACTTAGACCTTTAGCGTTGGTTTCACTTTGTGTGCAAGAGACGCTGTAATTTGTGGCTTTGCTAAACACTATTATACAGAATTAGTTCTTGTTTTTGGAATACAGAACAAAAGATGCACAAAGAATTCCATCAACATATGGAAATAAACTGGTGATTTAACGGCTTGTAAAGCTGCATCCTTCAGGACTGTGCAGATGAATTGGAATTTTACTTTTTATTGAACAGTGCTTAGATTTTAAAGAAAAAACAAAGCTTGGCTGATGTAAAATTATTATTATTCTAGGTGTTTAAGACAAACTTGATTAGGGAGGTACAAAAACGTTCTGAGAAGCTCTGGTAAATTCCACAGGTACATTTTCCTGCATATTCCTATGTCTGGAATTCTCTCGTCCCTGGGATCTTCTGGCATTTATTTTTATGAATTAGTAAAAACCAAACTTCCTGTCCCCCATGTTAATCCTGACACAACAAATGGTGGCGGCTGTGGGATTCCTCGTGTGGTTCTCTCCGGGTTTAGACAAAAGCCATAGCCATAGAGGACAGAAGGACCTCTCCTACAGAGAAAAGGTAGAAAGGGCATTGAGAGGTGAGGACCACAATTTCAGCTGGAATCCCAAATCTTTACAGAGGAAACCTGAGGCCATTTGTCATGTCAGATCAGAGGCAGCGGAAAAAATAATACAGCTAAACATAGCAGGGTTGCTATAAAACAAACTGAAATCTTATGTTTTCCGTGTTTGTGTTTTCCCTCCTCTCTCCAGGCGGCCAACTCCACCAGCCTGAGCCACCTGGTGACGGGCCTGAAACCCAACACACAGTACGAGTTCTCCGTTATGGTGACAAAAGGGCGCCGCTTCAGCACATGGAGCATGACAGCCGTGGGCACGACCCTGGAGACCAGTAAACACCACAAACACAAGCACATTGATGTTGCTGCTTATGTACACAGATCACAATTCAGAAACCACATTACCTGCAGGGTGATGAGCCATTGGCTGTTTGAGAATCATTAGTGATTATTAGCAGATTATTTCAGCTCTGTTTTCAAGAAAGTGATCTATTTTCAGCTCACTGTACATTATTTGGATTGAAACTCATTCCGTCATCAGTTAAGACTGAAACATGATCAAGCATCTGCAAAGTCGTACATACTCACACACACACACACAAACACACACACACACAAGCTAAGTATTTACTTTAATTCCTCACAAGAAACATTTTCGGAATAAAAAAGAGCAAACCTTGAAATATTTACAAATGCATATATCAAGAGTTTTACTCATAACTTCAATTGTGTAAATATTCAAGTAATGTGCTGCTATTGTGGTTTATCTCACCATTATATTGTTATTTTTTAATCCGTCACAGGTCCCAGCTCTGCCCCTAAAGACGTGACGGTTGTGAGCAAAGAGAACAAACCTCGTACCATAATAGTGAACTGGCAGCCTCCTTCAGAAGCCAATGGAAAAATCACTGGTGAGCGTCAACATTTAGACATTTGTCAAAACGTCAGACTTTTAGTTCAGTTCTGGCTCGATGAAAGTGTGGGACACTAAAAAAACATTTTTTAAATTATTATTTCTGATTATAAGGGTTATGGTTAGTCACTCTGAGATTAACATGCAGCCTGAACATGAAAATAGTCTCCTACACCTCTCTCCAGCATTAGCTTCTGATAGAAAATAGACGGTGAAACGCTAGGATTAGAAAAGCCTGACAGGTCTACATCACACTGTCACTTAACATTCGTGCACTCACCCATCTTGACTCGCGTCGGGGAATGCTGTTCCAGCAACAGAGGACATCATAGCTAATAGAAGCTAACCATTAGTATTAGCAACTCCACCACACAGCAGAACTCCTTCGGGCTTGGGTTGCGTTATTTGTGTTATCAGTTTTATTGAATCAAACAAACAGAAAATCAGTCTCTGGTTTTGGTTGACATCCTCTGTTGTGTGATCTTTAGGTTATATTATCTACTACAGTACTGATGTAAACGCAGTGGTGCACGACTGGGTCATTGAACCTGTGGTGGGAAACCGCCTCACACACCAGATCCAGGAGCTGACTGTAGACACAGTCTACTACTTCAAGATCCAGGCCCGAAACTCTAAAGGCATGGGCCCCATGTCGGAGGCCGTCCAGTTCCGCACTCCAAAGAGTAAGTTTAAAACCAGGGCGGATGTGAAGTTTCCAAGTGGCTTTGACTTGGACTTGAGTCTTCTGTTGGTTTTTAAAACAAGTTAATGCAAAGTCAGGATTTGATTTTCTCCAACTTTCCTTTTGGATCTTTCAGTAGTAAGTAAGACTATCTTTGTGACATCTTTGAGAGTGGATAATAACGTGTTGTAACTTTTAACATTAAACGAGTTAGAACGGGTTCGTTTTTGTTGGTCATTGAGATGTTTTATCAACATTTTTGTGAAATTTTGTAAATTGGAACATGCTTTTACTGTCAGAAGTTATAATTACTTCTGTAGTGATGCTTTGCTTCTATCAGCTTGGCTCTGTCTGCAGCGTTCTGTTTGGGAGTTGTTTGGTTTTCTGACAAACTTTTTCATTTACTTAGATTTTGCCCCTCTTGCAGTTCACATCTTCTCCCTTATTTCACCATTTCCTGCAGCTCTTCTCAGCTAACATTTTTTTTTTGTTGCTTTTTTGTCTTTTCCTCCCTGCATTCCTTTGGCCTGTTAAGCTGAGTCCTCTGACAAAATGGCTAATGACCAAGGTAAACTCTCTTCTCACTTTGCACCTTGTGTGCATTTCTATCCCCGGATTTCCATCTTCTGGGCTGTTGACAAATCACTCTGCATGACTGGCAAAATATGTTGTGCTTGTAGAAGTTCAAACTGTAACGTTCACTCAAAGATGATTTTAAATCATACGTTTCTCTCCTTTTGAATCAGCCTCAAATCTTCTGCCAAAGGCAGGACTTCCAGGCGGCCAGTATCCACACGACCCCAGGACTCCACCAGGTAAGACTTATAATCCGTGCTCCAGTTCAGATATCTGAAAATGATCCACCACTCGACCCAGATGATGTACCTAACCTTGAAATTTTCTTAATTATTTTTGTAGTTTTTCTTCTATTCTTTCATTTTTAGGTCTAAAATAATAAGTGTTCTTTTTTTCCATCATCCACTCATGAAAATGTGGTCTGACCCTATTTTTCTCCCTCAAGACAAAACAGGAGTTGGAAGCAGTGAAAACCACCTCCTGGTCA